GCATCTGTACTGTCATGTCGTCCATCCTTAAATCCATAATTGTGCTTGCCATACTTTATATTTAGAACTCAGTGGGGAATAAAATGTTTGTTTTGCTTCTCGCGCTTTCTGAGGGCGCACCACTAGCTTCATCCGCACACCTGATACACTGAGTTGTAGTGTAAGTGTACACATCCGCAAATCCATTGCTAAGGCTTACTTTATGTAGGTCGATTAAATTATGCGCCAAAAACAGGTTGACAACACTTGCTAATAAATAAAAAATACATTCTATATTAAAAATATAAGCTGTCTCTCTTCAAAAACCGATGCATCTCGCAAAAACCTATGCATCTCGATTTGCTTCCAAAATTTCATTCATCCTCTGCTGCTCTACCGATGCACTCGCATCGTGCACGCGCATGACCGCGTATCGATACATATCGGTTAATCTTCCCATCCCTAGTGCAGTGCATTCTGGGATTGACAGTTTTATCCTTTGATTTTGGCCAAAACAAGGTGAGAAATGTGTAGTTTTGTTGCTCTCTGCTTTGAAGATGACTCCTGTTGTGATCATGCCTAGGAATACAGCCTAAGTGGGCAGCTAACTAGGGTTTGGAACTGAGATATACAAAGATTTGTGCAAACAACAGATGAATTAGCCGTTGTTTGGAACAAGTTTGTGTTGATTCTTATTCCCTCTGAATCTTCAGCTCGAGATTTAATCATTCGTTATCTCGCTTTTCTCCAACTGTTGTCATTTTTATAAGTGAATTTGGCAAAGGAGACACAGCAGACTTGTTTGGCTGAGTGTGTGTGTGTGTGTGTGTGTGTGTGTGTGTGTGTGTGTGTGTGTGTGTGTGTGTGTGTGTGTGTGTGTGTGTGTGTGTGTGTGTGTGTGTGTGTGTGTGTGTGTGTGTGTGTGTGTGGATGAATCATCTGTTTATGCTTGGGGAAATTCACTATATGAGTTCATTTGAGAACCATCAAACATGATGAATGACACACACACACTCAGATAGACACAATCACACACACAAACCTGCATGCTCACATCTGGAAAGCACATGCGTGTGTTATTCCTGCGTGATCATGTATTTATGATGAAGTGCAGGATCTGGATATGTTTATTCATTTCATTCAGATGATGTATGAAGTAATGCTCATAAATGCCACAACGGGGGAACATGTAATCTAAAACCACGCAGGCTTCATCAGTATAGCTTCCAGGAGGGCCCTGAGATGATTTAAGATGAGAGAAAACAAGCATTTAAAATAAGCCAAAACAATGTGCAAGTAATACTGACATTAGTCAATGTCATACAGCTATGGAAGGTTTTAAGACCACTTAGATTCTCGGTGTTCTCAGAATGATTTACTCACACATGCGCATATACAAATAATACATAAACGCATATCTGCACATCTAATAAATCCACAGTGCTCTTTTGATTCTGTCTTGTCCCACTGAATTTAATTCCTTCTCTCGGTCTCTCTCAATTCAATTTAATAATTGCTTTATTTGCATGACAAATGTTACTGTATTGTCAACATTTATAAAGTTAACACAGTAAAAAGTAGTTGCAAATGAATGGATGAGTAAATAAATAAATAAATAAAAACTATTCAAATTAAAAATAAGAATAAACCAGAATAAAATGTACATTTAACTATCGAAGTTTTAGGGTAAAGCAGTAATAATAAATAATAATAATCAGTATTCAATTCATCTTTATTTCTCAAGCACTTTAAAAATTTACATTTAGTCATTTAGCAGAAGCTTTTATCCAAAGTGACTTACAAATGAGGACAAGGAAGCAATTTACACAACTATAAGAGCAACAATGAATAAGTGCTGTAGGCAAGTTTCAGGTGTGTAAAGTGTAAGAAGCAAAACATTAGTGATTTATTTATTTATTTTTTTATTAGTACAGTTAGCGGTGGACCAAGAGAGGCAATTGCAGATTAGGAAGGAGAGTGGAGACTGTAGATTGTGTCAAAGCAGCTCAACCAGGCCCGGCCCTAACCAATTTGGCGCCCTAGGCAAGATTTCAGGTGGCGCCCCGTCACATCGCAGTAAATTCCACTGCTAGTGTAGTCATATGAAACTAAACAGCTTTTTGATCGACTACTACAAGCTGGGAAAACGTCAGAAAATATGCCAATGCTATTAATGTTATCGCTGAATAGATCTAATATTTACACATTTGCTTGAGGAAGGAATGATGGGGTAGTTACATTACTATTACTATTTTCCATAACATCTATGCCCTTCCATAACATTAGCTGACGTTAAAACTAACAGATAGCACTATAGCTATTTATTGATTAGCAATCTGTCAATGTTGGTATGTAAAAAATATGGGACAACAAATAGCTTCAAATGATAGAATACATAGCAAACATTAGAAAATATTGACAATAAAATAAAAGCTTTAGCCTATTAAAATCAATGGCCTATATAGAAATTAAATAAAGCTATAAAATCTATTTCACTTTTAATTGTATTTGCATATTGATTAAAGTTACTAGTTATTTAGTGAAGAGCAGCAGATGACCTCCCATTGTGTTTTGTTTGATAACAGAGGTGTTCATGTAAGAATGCACAGATCTATATGAATGAATGAAGCATTCGAGTACTTTAGTAACTGTTTGTGCTCATTTAAGAGAAAATGAGTTGTTTAAAATAAAACAAAAAATAAATTAAAAAAAACAAAACAAAAAAAAAAAGCTCTTTTCCGACGGTCCCTTATTGAGAGCTCCACTCCGCGCGAGCTCTCCCGGCCCTGTGCTCATCACAGAAGTTCTAGTAGATTGAAACTATGTCAGTCCCGTTTTCAGTGTTGAAGTTCAGTGTGGTTTAATATTCACTGCTGAAAGTCCAAACACTGAAGAACAAATCCATTTATGCGCAGCTCCACAAGTCCCAAACCAAGCAAGCCAGTGGTGACTGAGGAGGAAATAACCTTTAGAGAAAGCAGGCTCAAGTGGACATGACCATTTCTCCCCTGGCCAAACGTCCTGTGTAGAGCTGCAGTTTAGGCGCTGGAGAATGCTGGAGAACGCTGGACGTCCATCATGGAGAAAATAGTGGTTATATCAACAAACATGGAAAGCATATCTGCAGCATTTATCTCTCTCTGTGTATGTATATATATATATATATATATATATATATATATATATATATATATATATATTTAAAAAACATTTAAAAATTATTATTTGGTAAATCAAGTCTTACTAAAGTCATGCAAATTATTATTATTTTTCATTTTTATTATTTATTTATCTGATAAAGTTTAAAACTAGACTGAGTACAACTGTCTAAATATGTGATTTATTATAAACTATTTAAAAGCCTGAAAAAAAGGTTAAAATAAAATGTTTTAGCAGCTTTTTTTATTGTGTATATAATTGCAAGCATGGCAACACAGTGGCGCAGTAGGAAGTGCTGTTGCCTCACAGGAAGAGGGTCGCTGGTTCGAGCCTCGGCCTGGGTCAGCTGGCGTTTCTGTGTGGAGTTTGCATGTTCTCCTTGAATTCGCGTGGGTTTCCTCCGGGTGCTCTGGTTTCTCCCACAGTCCAAACACATGTGGTACAGGTGAAATGGGTAGGCTAAATTGTCCCTAGTGTATGATTTTTGTATGGATGTTTCCCAGAGATTGGTTGCAGTTGGATGCGCATCCGCTGAGTAAAACACATGCTGAACAAGTTGGCGGTTCATTCCGCTGTGGCGAGCTCAGATTAATAAATGGACTAAGCCGGAGAGAAAATGAATGAATGAATGCATTGTAAGCATTGGAGAAATGAAGATTTCATCTCTGCACATTATTCAGGGCTGTAGTTTAAGTCCGGGGTAAGAATGGCAGGAGATGTGTAATAGTCGTGTAACCGGATCACAAATATCACGGTGCAGATCACATTTTGGTTTTTAAGTCACAGATCGGACCATTTTTCAGATCATTCAAAAAGGGGAGGAGACAAATGTCATTTGCTTTTCATTTTATTACAGAAACAGCACTGCAAGACGCTTTTGGTTTTAGCAAACAAAACTTATGAGCTGTAATTTTATTAGAAATAAAATCAAAAAATAATCAGCTGAATGAAAATAAACTTTAAAATATTCAGTACTGTGAAAAACTGATACTAATACTACTGTTGCTGATAACGCTAAATGCAGAAATCTAACATTATCTATCATAGGTCAATCATGACCTCTCTGGACATGAGTTTAAATCAGGAACCGATCACTCACTTTTTTAATTGTCTAATCATCTTGTTTATTCCCGCCCCTTTTCGGAGCACTGTAGGACAGAATTTCGCATGCACAAACTCGAGTGACCGCAGCATTATTCAGTGGTATGGTTTTGATGGCTATTGGTTAAATAATGTAATTGCTGCCCACAACTTTCATTTCGTTAAATGCATATGTTAGTGATTTCATCCATCAGTGGTTTTATCTAAGCTATAAACTGTTCTCCCAGTACTTCTGTGTTATTTTACTGTTCATAACTTTCTCCAAAGACTAAAGACTGAATCTCTTTCTTGATTTTTGCGTTTTCAGATTTGAGTGCGGCGATTGGAAGGATTAATAAACATGCAAATCACAAATCATTTATAATGTTTGTTGCGTGGGTGTTGAGATCCTGATCTTTCAATGATTAATCGTGCAGCTTACCCTGAATTCATTAATGCAGGCTAAACAAATAGTGAAAGAAAAAAACTTTAATGAAACCCACCACATCCCCAATAACCCACCACAACTTCTTCCGTCATCATTATATTTTGCAGGTAACCCTAAATGTTTTTATACATGTGAATTGAATGACTCGAGAGGCGATCACTCTGCAATCGTTACAAATGTAGGAGTAATCTACTAGTAAAAAATGTGTTAATCCATGGGCCACGTATGTACCGAATCGTGGGTTGTGATCTGTATTCCGTTACACTCCTAATGGGTGATATATTAACAGTATAACGGTAGCAGTTTCATCATTGCATGTGTTTTATCTTTACAGTCATGGAGTTGCTCCCTGTCCTGTTACTGTCAAATCCAAACCAGCGGACAAACATGATGCAGTTCAAGGTAAGAGCATCCACACACACACACACACACACACACCTACACACACACTCTTATTTTTGTCTTAGGACAATTTTGAAAAGCTTTTTTGATCCACTTTGAATGTTGTCTACCGTAGTGCTCTATATCAGTATTTTCCCAAGCCTGTTCCTGAAGGCACATCAACAGACACATTTTCAACCTCTTCCTAATCAAACACACCTGAATTAACTCAGAACTCCAAAACTCTGTTGGTACTGTTGGAGTGCATTCAGGAACATGATTGGGAAACACTGATCTATATAGAGCATCGGTGTCCACACTCAGTCCTGGAGGGCCACTGTCCTGGAGAGTTTAGCTCCAACCCTAATCAAACACACCTGAACCAGCTATACTAGAAGATCTCCAGGCAGGTGTGTTGAAGCAAGTTAGAGCTAAAGTCAGCAGGACACCGGACCTCCAGGACCGACTTTGGACACCCCTGATATAGAGTGTATTGAGTGTTGTTAGAGCCAGCTGTTGTGTGTGTTTGTGCAGCTCCAGCTAAAGCACCGGTGAGTTCTGGTCCGGCGTGTCGGCCCCCGTGGGTGACGGACCCCGGGTTTGCAGATCGATATCATCCAGATAAGAGCAGCACAGTGGTGACGCAGCACACGCAGCCGCTGCAGCCCACTCCCATGCAGAACCGCAGCTCCATCCTGCAGGCGGCGCAGCAGAGCCCGGCCCACAGCAGCGCCGCAACACCACTGTGTGCAGCCTGCAGCAAGATCATCAGGTGCGCATCACTGGGCTTACAGTGATTACAGTAGTGTCAGGGCTTACAGTGGAGGATGGGCATACAGTAGTGCCAGTGTTTACAGTAGAGGCAGTATTTACAGTAGAGGATGGGAATACAGCAGTGTCAGTCTTTACAGTAGAGGATGGGAATACAGTAGAGGCAGTGTTTACAGTAGAGGATGGGCATACAGTAGTGCCAGTGTTTACAGTAGAGGCAGTGTTTACAGTAGAGGATGGGCATACAGCAGTGTCAGTCTTTACAGTAGAGGATGGGAATACAGTAGAGGCAGTGTTTACAGTAGAGGATGGGCATACAGTAGTGTCAGTGTTTACAGTAGAGGATGGGTTTACAGTAGAGGCAGGGTTTACAGTAGAGGATGGGCATACAGTAGTGTCAGTGTTTACAGTAGAGTTAGTGTTTACAGTAGTGCCCGTGTTTACAGTAGAGGATGGGCATACAGTAGTGTCAGTGTTTACAGTAGAGTTAGTGTTTACAGTAGAGTTAGTGTTTACAGTAGAGGGGCATACAGTAGTGTCAGTGTTTACAGTAGAGGATGGGTTTATAGTAGAGGCAGGGTTTACAGTAGAGGATGGGCATACAGTAGAGTTAGTGTTTACAGTAGAGTTAGTGTTTACAGTAGAGGATGGGCATACAGTAGAGTTAGTGTTTACAGTAGAGTTAGTGTTTACAGTAGAGGATGGGCATACAGTAGAGTTAGTGTTTACAGTAGAGTTAGTGTTTACAGTAGAGGATGGGCATACAGTAGAGTTAGTGTTTACAGTAGAGTTAGTGTTTACAGTAGAGGATGGGCATACAGTAGAGTTAGTGTTTACAGTAGAGTTAGTGTTTACAGTAGAGGATGGGCATACAGTAGAGTTAGTGTTTACAGTAGAGTTAGTGTTTACAGTAGAGGATGGGCATACAGTAGTGTCAGTGTTTACAGCAGAGGCCGTGTTTACAGTAGAGGGGCATACAGTAGTGTCAGAGTTTACAGTAGAGGATGGGTTTATAGTAGAGGCAGGGTTTACAGTAGAGGATGGGCATACAGTAGTGTCAGTGTTTACAGTAGAGTTAGTGTTTACAGTAGAGTTAGTGTTTACAGTAGAGGATGGGCATACAGTAGTGTCAGTTTACAGCAGAGGCAGTGTTTACAGTAGAGGGGCATACAGTAGAGTTAGTGTTTACAGTAGAGGGGCATACAGTAGAGTTAGTGTTTACAGTAGAGGGGCATACAGTAGAGTTAGTGTTTACAGTAGAGGGGCATACAGTAGAGTTAGTGTTTACAGTATTGTCAGTGTTTACAGTAGAGTTAGTGTTTACAGTAGAGGATGGGCATACAGTAGAGTTAGTGTTTACAGTAGTGTCAGTGTTTACAGTAGAGGCAGTGTTTACAGTATTGTCAGTGTTTACAGTAGAGTTAGTGTTTACAGTAGAGGATGGGCATACAGTAGAGTTAGTGTTTACAGTAGTGTCAGTGTTTACAGTAGAGGATGGGTTTATAGTAGAGGCAGTGTTTGCAGTAGAAGGGCATACAGTAGTGTCAGTGTTTACAGCAGAGGCAGTGTTTACAGTAGAGGGGCATACAGTAGAGTTAGTGTTTACAGTAGAGGATGGGTTTATAGTAGAGGTCGGTTTACCGTAGAGCTAATAGATAAATTGTTGCAAATTAAAATTGTAAGTATTTTTTATTTACCATTTTTCCTTCATTCTTTTCGTCTTCCTTTTTTTCTCTTTCCTCCCTAACTTGTCCTTCCCTAATTAGTTTCTTTTCTACCTTCCTTTTACTTCTACTTACTGTACATTGCTTCCCTTCTTCCTCCTTACATTATCCTTCCTCCCTCCCTTCCTTTCTTTATACCTGCCTATGCTCTAAATAAAGCAGCCATAATCATTTTTGTGCTACCATCAAACAATATGATGTTTTTTAAATGTGAGAATTGATATCACTTACTAATTCATTAATCACTCACTTGACTTGCGCCACCTACTGGTGGTTTTAGTGTCCTTTTTTATGCCTTACACTCAGCAAAAAAATAATTATTGTTTAACAAAATATTGTTTAATTATGGCTATCCCCAACAATATTGATATACAGTATAAATTGTCAGTATGACACAGCACTATAATGCGCATGTCTGCAAGAAAGACCTGAATAAATCTGAATTCAATGCTATTATGTGACACAGCTGTGATTTAATGTATTTTAATTATCCCTAACTATTGTCCCTTATTTAGTGCATTTTTGCTGCATTTTTAAACTGTGTTTGATGGTAGAAAGTGCTGTATTTTTGCTTTGTTTGCTATTATTTTTGCCCCAAACCGCTTTCTAAATTAGCAGTTAAAATCCCAAAGCTGCTGCTGGCAGCCTAAAATACCTGCAAATCAATGAAGACTATTCGCTAAATGTCATTACTTACAAAAAATGGTGAGGGAAAAAGGTTGTGTCCAACTTTGTAAGGCAGCAATATTTCTTGAAATCCGGCGAGCACAGAAATAGCGGCGTGTCCTTGGGCTCTCTGCCGTGGAGAATCAATACAGAATGGAGCCGGTTCCTGCGCCTGACCTACTATTTCCATTCCAGTGGCTTTTGCACACTGAGCACTTCTGATCGCTGAAGTCTTTTGTGTTGCTGCTGTGTGTTTTAGGGGACGGTACGTGGTGGCGCTGGGCCGCTCCTGGCACCCGGAGGAGTTCATGTGCTGCCAGTGTAAAAGACTGCTGGACGAGGGCGGATTCTTTGAGGAGAAAGGCTCCATTTACTGCTCCAAGTGTTACGACAACCGATATTCACCCAACTGTGCCAAATGCAAGAAGATCATCACCGGGGTGAGCAAATGTGCTTCTGTAAACACACACTGAGGATGCATGAGGAGAACATCAAGGAGAAGTGATGCTGGAAAATCACAGCAGTAAATAATATTGGGGATTTGTTATAATATAATATAAGGGCAGCATGGTGGCTCAGTGGTTAGCACTGTCACCTTACAGCAAAAAGGTTGCTGGTTCGAGCCCCAGCTGGAATACATTGTCTCTCTCTCTCTTTCTCGCACTCCACAGGAGATCATGCATGCCCTGAAGATGACCTATCATGTGCAGTGTTTCCTCTGCGCCGCCTGCAAGCTGCCCATCAGGAATCAGGCCTTCTACATGGAGGAGGGAGAGCCGTACTGCGAGCGCGGTGAGACACTCGCACACACACGGCTGGCCGCACATTGTATCGACAGCCCTCGCCGCGTTTAATCATTCAGATACTGCCTGCCACTTCACTTCAGATCCTGTGCATTGATCTCCTTTGCGCTTGACTATTTGCTCTTAATACAGTATTAGCAGAACGGCCACTAGTGCTCACTGACACCAGGAATATTGCCGTTCTGAAGGCTTTTCATTTATTCAAATCAGACTTTAGTCACACGAGTGCACAGCTGAAGGGTCAGCATGTACTCAAGACACTTTTTAAACTTTTTTTTAAGACTTATAATGCAACAGAATCAGTGCATGCTTGATTTAAACATTTTCTTTTCTTTTCTTTTTTTTTGTGTGTTTCCTCCTTTTTCTTCTCCTTCTTTTTTAATTTTTCCTTATTTAATTCCAATGTACTGTTTTGTTTATTTTAGGTTGTTTTTTTTATTTATTTATTTAATGTTGTTGCTGTTATTATTATTATTATTATTATTTTTATTTGCATTATGTTATTAGTTGTTTTATTTAGGTATTTTTGTCCCCATTCATTTAAATTTAATGTACTTTTTTAGGTTGTTTGTTTTTTCAATGAATTTGTTTTTATTTATTTATTGTTATCTTTCTTATTTTATTCTTATTTTTTGTATTAATTTATGTTATTTTCCCTTTTTCATTATTTAAATTAAATGTACTTTGTTTTTTAGGTTGTTTGTTTTTTTAAAACGTATTTGTTGTTAATTTCTTTTTATATATTTTGTGTGTTTTATTTATATATTTGTTTTTTTTTAAGCTTTTCCCCCTTTTTCCTTGTTCGTTTAAATTTTATTTGCTTTTTAGTTTTTTGGGTTGTTTTTTTATTTATTTATATAATGTTGTTATTATTATTATTTTTTGTATTATATTTTTATTTTATTTTTAAGTATTAATTTAAATTTAGTTTATTGTTTTTAGTTCTTTTTCAGTTTTGTTATTATATTTGTATTATATTATTATTATTTTTTTATTTTATTTAAAGCAGGAATTTATATACTGGACATTATTTCTGTTCAGTGACAAGACGTTTGTCTAAGCCAAGTCAGACCTTACTGTCCTAATGAATTAATAAAAAATCAGTGCATGATCATATTGTTTTGTGGTAAAATAAGTGTAATCTAGAGGCCTTTACCTTTCATATAAGACACCTCTAATGCCAAATGATCAACTAGAAGTCTAAATATCAGAAGTTAAATATCAGAGTGTTTTTCCTGCTATTGTTGCAACAATGAGATGCGAGGCGCAGATCAGATTAACACAATTTTTCCATGTTAATTTTCACTCATTCATTTTGTTTCCTGAGTGATGAAAAGTTGCTCAATTCAGCCTGCGTCTTTTTTTTTTTCTTTTAGTTTGTGTAGTGCAGTTAATCACATTGTTGGGCCCTAATCTTACACAAACAGACATTAAGCTATCTGAAGGCCTTTATTATGTAAATAGACTGGCGCAGCAGCAGCTTTGAGGTGTGTGGTTGTGTGTGTGTGTGTGTGTGTGTGTGTGTGTGTGTGTGTGTGTGTGTGTGTGTGTGTATGTATGTGTGTGTGTGTGTGTGTGTGTGTGTGTGTGTGTGTGTGTGTGTGTGTGTGTGTGTGTGTGTGTGTGTGTGTGTGTGTGTGTGTGTGTGTGTGTCGTTTGGCAACACACAGGGATTGTGCTGTAAACACTTACCTTGTGGACGGCACATTAAACCTCTGCTTTTAAGTTGTTTTTTAATGCTAAAAGTGGGCCGATCCGTGAGGAATCTGGAGCAGTGTGTGTGTGTGTGTTATCTCATACTGTGCATGTGAACGCTGAATCACTGTAATCCCTTTGCTTTTCCTTTTCGATAACACATTTCTTCTTCCATTTTGTCTCGTTTTTTTCTGACCAAGCACTTTTTCTCACTACTATACTTATTTTTTAAGTGTCTGTAGTTTATCTGTGTGTTTTAATATTTGGCAAGTTTACTTTGACTACATTTCAAAACAAATTATTATATTTTTTATAATTCCACTACATTTGCTAAAAGAAGACGAGTCAAAAGTGAAGGAAAAGTGTAGAAATCTTCACCTGCTTTGATTCATGAGCTGTATACTGTATTCATATTCTCTACAGGATCAGGGCCGGATTAACCAATGGGCCTTATGGGCACAGGCCCAGGGGCCCGTGCGCACCAGGGGCCCCTGCGAGGGGGGAGAAAAAAAGACAATTTCGGAGTGTCTTTTTAGGCTAATTGCAAATAGCGCATCTAGTTGGAATAAGCTATTCAGGGTTTACGCCCATCGATGCCTGATTGATAGAGACAAGATGAGTAAAGAGCAGTGAAATAATGTAGCCGCAGTGGCGCACCTTATAAGGCACACGGTATCATCTTTTGACGCGATTAATAATAACATCGGTTCGAATCCACCATCAGTTGACCTCGTGCTACTTTTTTTTCTCCCCATTACATATCAGATTGGAAATAATTTATTTTTAACAGGAAAGAAACATTTTTTAAAAATAATGCAAATGTGATATAAAGTCACAAGTGTCTCGTGGGTATTTAATAATGTTTAGCCTTATTATAGGCGCCTGCCGCGCCTCCCTCTCTTCAAAAACTCTATTGCTCAGACAACTGTATTTCCTCTGAGCAAAAAAATCGCGATCACATAGTAATATTATTATTATATTTAAACTGCCTTTCTTTCTTTAACTAAACAGAATGCTGTAATTGGTCAAGTGCGGAAACGTCAGTTTTGTAATAACCCACACTAAACTGAGCGGACTTTAGTGTAACGTTATACCTGTCATAGATCAAAAATGAGTGGACACGTGGATTTAGCAAACGCGAGAGAAAGAGGAGAGGAGGCATCTTTATTGAGGCATTTTCCATACACACCTTCTTTAAACAGACCCGTGATCAGGAGAATGAGGGTACAGAAGAAGACGTTATGGTAACTTTAAATGATGAGTAGCTAGCATTAACCAGGCGGAGGAGGCTAACGGCAGCCCAGCGCGGACTGGATTCATCGTGTGAGAGACAGACAGAAAGGGAGAGAGAGAGAGAGAGAGAGAGAGAAAGGCCCAGAAGAGGAGAGAGACGGGAGAGAAGAGGTATAGTGTGTGTGATTTCGGATACTTTTAGGTTTATAATCAAGTCTTCATCACGAGAAGAGTAGAGAAAATACAGGGAGAGGAGAGAGAGAGTAAATCAGTGTTTGTATTATGAAAGACTCAGATTCATAGAACTGGATTGGAGAAGCATTGTGTGTTATATGCCATGGCAATAATATGCTTTATAAGTTTGTAAAAGCAATACACTAAAATACCCTTAAAAAAAAAAAAAAAAAAAAAAAAAAAAAAAAAAAATATATATATATATATATATATATATATATATATATATATATATATATATATATATATATGTATATATATATATATATATATATATATATATATATATATATATATATATATATATATATATATA